TTAAAACCCCTAAAACCAATACTATCCCTCCTCATCAACACCCCCCTCCAAAAGAAAAAACAACAAAAAAACAACTTGCTGAAGCACTGGCAAAGTTAGACATTTCACAGTAAATGTGAAAGTTCATATTATATTATCTCTTAAAATGAACCTTTTCACCCTCTTTCCACAGCATGAAACTGTTATGGCTTAATTTATATTAAAAGTAGAAAAGTCTCTTCTGAAGGAAATACAGTCTGCAGAGATGCATATGCATTTCCTGATCAGTGCTATTTCATACCTAACAACTGCATGACTTGCTTTTGCAGTCAGAAGCTGTTTTTGGAAAAACTGAGGTTATAGATTTTGATTCAGTCTAACCATAAACTGTAAGGCCCTTAGTTTGGTTTAGGTTTCTTTTGCAAGATAAAATAACCTTGGGGTTCACTTAGCAAGTTACACCTCAGGTCCCTGACTATATTGTGGAAATTGTATGCATGCTTTGTAAAAATAAAAGGTTACTTATGAATCTCGGAGGGAAGAAATGATTCTAGGCAAGGAGTCAACTCCTTATTTATATATTATATTTAATGCTGGTAATTTTTACCAACCAAAATCCACCAAAGAAACATAAGAGTATGTCTGGGTTATTTTATTCCTGCAAAATATTATGTATTCCAGCACTTAAGATCATTGTTTTGGTGAAAAATCTTGGGAAAAGTAGCTGACATTTTGAAAAGAAAATGGCCCAAATAAAACTGATTGGAGACAAAGTTTTACCTTGATAATGAAGTTCCACTGATGACTGCTTTCTGAAATGAAGAAAAGTGAATTCGGAACGTCACAGGTCTTGCATAGGTAAGCTACTTGGAGGTCTAGGGCTACTCGGTAGCCAGGGTTTATTATCAGTGAAACAGTGCAGAGCAGATAAGTACGTTGGAAGAATCACTGAATAGTTTCAAAAAGGCTTTAACAAAAAAGCGTAATGTTGTACTTGTTAAGACAAAGCCTTAGGACACTAGAAAGGGCACCAAGGGTGAGAGGGAGAATCGAAGGGTATTTCAAATGAGTATTATTTTCTCCTTTCCGTACAGAGGAAAAAAATATTATAGAATAATAAAATCACAGTCAGTCACAATAAGCTAATTGCTTTGGAAACAGGCATTTGCTTCCTAATGACCTTAATTTTTAAAACTTTATGTAGAGGATGTCAAATGCTTGACTATGGCATGACGTTCACTGGAAAATTAAAATAAGGGAAGGAAGGCTACAGTGTCTAGTAAGGCTACAGTATTAAGACTACAACAGTGAGTAAATTCATTCTTCCCCTTTCTTTCCACCTGGCTTCCAGTAAGCACATGAGCATCGACCACCAGAGGACAAGCAGAGGCTGCACAGCACCTTGGAACAGGGGCTGTTTTAGGAAGCAAGGTATCAGAGGTCCCAGACTGTGTGTCCCCAGGCAAACACTGCCCTCTCTGGGTTTCATTTGTCTCCTTTATTTACTAGTGATACTCTTTTTCTAGGATAATGATCTGATGCTCAACCTTCTCAAGATTGCTTTAGATGAAGTAGGGACATCAGGAAAGTACTGGTGAGCAATTAGCTTAATATTTAATGAGAAAAACGAACTTTTGATAGTTACTTTTAGCAGTAGCACACTGGGTCATACAATTATTCCAATCAACTCTACAGTCTTATCACTATAGGGAGCATCTTTTGAAAATAGCTAAAAGAATCTTTCCTGTTGAAGATGTGCAGTGGAGTCTCCTTTCCTACACTACTGCAGTGCTTCCTCTCTTTAACCAACAAGCTGCTGGTATCCACCCAACAGCTGTCTTTGTGGATCCCCATCTTTCTAACCACCTTACTGTTTTTCCTAGTTCACTGGGTAGTTGCTAAATCATTTTCATTCCATACTTATTTCACCTTCTTCTAGTGCGTGAAGAGTGTGCTCAATTGGTGGGTCAGACTCAGGAAATCAGGAGTTTCCTAATTCTTTTTTGAGAGCAACCCAAAGTTATCTTTCAATTACTTCACATCACCTTAATGTACTTGAGGATAAACGGTCTCACTTTCTTATCCATAAACTATCTCATTTCTTTTTCCTTCACTTTAAGCATGGAATCCGATTTTAATTCAGCACCTTGTTAGAGATTCTTCAGATTTTTAAAATAGCAGGCCCTGGGCATATATCTGATATGAAATAAATTTTATGAATAATAGCAGTTTTCATTTTAAAATGGATATAAAGGTGCATTCATTATCAGTTGTAACTTAAATAATAATAAATTTGCTATAAGTATGATAAGTTAATAGACTATGGAATGCTTTCCTATGTTTTTCTTAGCTGGTTATCATAATAAGCATTATAATCTAAGCTTAACAAATGAGAAAACTAAGAGAAAGAATAAATGACTTATTCAAGGTCACACAGCTGACACCTAGATGGCAGAACATGGACAAAAACCCAGGTCTTCTGCTTCCTTCCATACGACACCATGCCCCTGTATACTGCATTAAATTACTAACTTTTGAAATGTTTCTTAAAGTTTGAAAAAGAACTCAGGTCTCTGTTTTACTTCCACTTCTACAGTGGCATATCTTGGTTGAAACTAATAAAGTTACGATGTTTTTTATGAATGGACCCTCTTTTGCTACAGTTTGCTCAGAAGTGAAAATACTGCTAATTCCTGAAGAAGATACCTTCAAGGGCAGAGACCAAAACTGCAACTTTTTATCCCCCACCCCACAGTACCAAGTAGTGCTGAGCACACAGTAGATGTCTGAGAAGTACCTGTTGATCTCCTATGAATAAATACAGTAGAGTACATTGAAAAGGCAATAATTAGGATTATTAAAAAATAGAAAAGTATTTAAGCTAAGTATTTAATTAGTGATAAGGATGAGCTTATTCCTCCTGGAGTTTATAATTTCAGTCAGAATCTTCAATTTTGTATGCTTTAAAAAGAACTGATACTTAGGAAGTTTGATGTATTTCTAGGATACTGAACTATTCTAAACTGCCAGCTTTATATTGTTTACATCATCCATCAGTATTGAAGAGTATAATATTATGTGATGTTGTGAATTACAGTACAGTGGATCCCAGGTTAAGTGTCATTTATTTAATAATATAGGAAAATTATCTTCTACTATTACTATTAAACCTGTATATGTTAAATCATAATTCTCAATTTTATATATTTGTATTTGCTTACAACTAGCTAAATGCTATCACTGCCGTCTTCCTGTCTAAGTTGTGGTGTCTATGTGATAGTACTGTTCATAAATGAAATTAAAGGAAAGACAAAAGGTTGTCTGTTACTGTCAAGCCCAGATACTGGCAGCAGTTACCTCAAAGTTCAGCCACTTGCGCGAGACAAAGGCATGCATCACAGCCAGTAACTCTACAAGAGGTTCGACTAGAAAAGTTTGACTGGATCAGTGGCTGAATTTTCACCAATTTGGAAAAGAATACATGTATTCTCTTACAGTGGTTGTATCACTGTGTTTTGAGTTTCCCAACTTAATCAGTTAACGGGCTAAAATTGCCAAAAATGAATCCACAGTAACTTCACTTAAAAATTCCATATGCTAGCTACTCAACATTAGCATTTATTGGCCTAAGTACATAGGAGGAATGAATACTGGCCACAATTTTAATTCGTAAAATAAATTAAGTTTTGTCTTAATTTTTATGGCTAAAGAAATAAAAGGTAATTAAAAATATTTAGAGTTATGAAAAAATGTAAAGAAAAAACCCCACCCTAGATCATGATGTAACTGGAAAAAGGAATTATAGCTCTTATTTCCTAATCCACACAAAAAACATGTACTGTAACACCAGAACAGGGTCTATAGAAAACCAAGACATCACAATAATATACAGTGTGGGAAGGTAGAAGAATCAGTCAAATTCTAATTTGTGACATCTTGAGATAAAACTACCAGTGAATGACTGACTCTACCCACCTCTTCACTAGTTTTGGCATAGTGTAGACAGAGTTTAATTAGGCTGTTTATAGACACTGAGGATTTCCATAACAATTTTTCCTGACACTCAGATAAGATTCAAATTTTGGTCCACTCACTCTGGACCAAAAAGGCTAATTTATAAGCTATTTCACATTTATTCCATGAAATTTTGGAATGGAGACAGAGTAAGAAATATTTCTCATTGAAAATATACATTTAAATGCAACCATGAAAGATGATGGTATAGTTTTTTTTTTTTTGTAGCAATTCAAGTGACAGTATAGAGAAGAAAGTCCTGCTACCTTGCTGAATAAAAAAAAAAGACAAATCTATAATACGGCCATATTTCTTCTCCATAAAAATAAAATTTATCCTATTTGCCTATATTTTCTTTGTAGGAATTTGTAAAATGCTCTATTGTCAGACCTGGGAACATTTCCAGCCCACTCCCAGAAATCACTTATTTTTATGCTATGGGGGGAAAAAGGGAAAATAGAAGCTATTACAAGCAACTGAAAACTGGCATTTAGTAAAAATTGTACATAAAAGAGATAAATGATTAGAGTTCAGCCAGACACTTAACCTCAACACGAACTAGTCAAGTTAGGATAGATGGAAGAAACTGCAAAAAGCACCCATTTTACTCCAAATTCATATCTTAAATAATTCTTTAGAAGGTTAAAAAATAAAACACACACACACACACACGCGCACGCACACAGAAATCTCCAACATGCTTGCTTCTATACAACTTAATATAATTCTATTATAGTACGACTTATTATGCAGATTTGAATATCCTCCATCAAACCATATTTTCCAACAAATTAGGTATAGAGAATAAAAGCATTTATATAACCTTTGCAGCAGGTGTTGGTCCTGTTCACCAACACCAGCATTATGAAGAAGGCCCGCTATAGTTACAAATGTATTTGGAAAAACTACAAACATGACAATTTAACCAAACTTATAATACTTTTCCCACAAGTAGGAAAAAGATATTAAAGCTGTTCTCTTTGGGACCCAGATATCATTAGCAGAAATGAAAATGCAAGAAGCCTATTTTTTTATATTTAGAAGAAAATCACAATGTGAAACGAAATGAGAAATGAGGGATTTTTTATGGAGTTCTTACACATTGGCTATGAAAGTGTTTCCCTGCAAAGAGAAGAGTCTTGTTGGGTCATCACAAAATGATGGGGAGTTCAGAGGGAAGGTGGGATAAAAGGTAATTAACCTGGATAACAGTATGCACCTTGGATGTTAGCAAAAGCGAAGCTAATAGCTTATAAAAAACACATGAAATATATAAAATAAAATGATTTTCATATACATCTTAATTTAAAATAATTAATGCATCAAATCCCTGTTTAAGACTTTAACCTGAATATCAAATTTAAGAGTCCAGACTAGTTACTGTTACTGTGGCTCTTCCCCACATATAACACACACACTATCAAAAATAATTTAAAAACCTTCACATTCTTAAATCTAAATTAGTGAGATATTTCTCCAGAAATCTTCCAAATAAATAGCTTTAAAAAAGAAAGATTTATAAGCTGTTAACTTTAAAAAAAAAATCTGTTAAATAAATTATTGATAATTCTTTATCCTACCACTGAAAATAAATCAAGACACTACCAACAACAAAATGAAATTCAAGCCCTGACAAGAGACCCTTTCCAGTTCAAGGTCTCTTTTTAAGGTTCTACCCTCCTTCTTCCTCTCCCCCACCAGGTCCAAACTGGTTATTGCTGAGTGGGTGTGGCACAGTGAAAATGCAGCATCAGGTTCATTCTGTTCTTCGGGCAGTGTTCTTACTATACACACAAATTGCTCCAGGCAGGGGGATGGTGCAAGCTCCAGGCTCCTGCACCCCCGAGACTGGTCTCCAAAGGAAAAAGCGGCTGCAACAGCAGCTCTGTCACACAAAGAAACGTGCATGGCCATTTCTGTTCAACTTAAGGATCTTCCCAAGACGTTGTTTAGCTGTTGCCATTCCTTTTTTTGGGCGTTTACCTATAAAACACCAACAACAGTGTAAATAATAATGAAAAGCACACTTGGCAGACAGCACCCGGAAGACTTAAAGGGAGAGCTTTATGGAAAGTAAGCCCTGTAAGTGTTCTCAATGGACAAAGTCATACTTCTGGACTTTGACTGTTTAAAACTCATCCATCTGCTCACATTAGGGTTAAAGGCCAACCTCCTTCACTAGACTTACAAGGTCCTCCCACAGTTTGATCTCTGCCTAGCTCTTCAGCCTCATCTCTTACCTATCCTGCCTCAAACTGTGCTTTGGCAACAAAACTCATCGCAATTTCACAAATACACCACATCCTGTTTCTGCCCTTCGTGCCCTGACTCCGGCTCTCCTTCTGCCTTCAAAGCTGTCTGTCACTCCCCCCATCTCAGCCTGGCTAACCCTTAGCATCCTTTTTTAGGGTCTGCCTCCTGATGCTCAGGGCTGACTTAGGTATCCTCCTTCTTTGTTCCCACAGCAGCCTATGCACACTGCCATCGCTGTGCTGTCCATAATGCACTAGATGGTGAACAACTTGAGTGCAGAGACTGTATCTAAACTGCCACTATCACCATCCCACACACTCACAAATATACCTAATCTACAATTGTGTAAAAGTTACCTTTTGTTGCCTGGTTGCTGATAGGTGGTGGATTTGATGCAGGTCTCTTGGTGGGGTGAAGGGGCACTGAGAAGGAAGTTTCACCAACTGGCCTTTCTGGGCTTAGACTGCCATTACTTATCTGGCATGCCCCTGAAATCAAGCTTGAATTCTGCATGTACTTTCCGTTCTGAAGGCCTGAGCCACTGCTGTCCACATAATTCCTACTTTGTACCTTCTGACTGGTTTCTGATGAACCTTCCTTTTTGATGCATTTCTGGCTTCTACTTAGGTCCTGGAAGAAGGAAGGAAATGAGGCTGAATTCTTAGGGTTTAAGAAAAGTGAGGTATTTAAGCTCTCTATGCATTAGGAAAGTCAAGAGAGAAGAAATAAACTACTGAATTTTGGTTTTCTTAACTTCTATCAGCCAGAGAGGACTACCATTTCATGATGGTCATCTCAATTCATAAACCTAACAGGTTTGAAGGATTTGGGTCTTGAAGTTGCTTCATAACTTAAGTAGGGAAGAAAAAGGAGAGAAAATAATTTAAACAAGCAGAAATGCCCTGCCTGCCATTCCACTCAGTGAGCACGTGCTATGGAGGACCCAAGACAGGAGGAATGGACTTACGCTTCCTCAGCATGCCACAGCTCCCTTAGAATATACCTCTCATGGTGTAATGTGCTATTCTTTTTTAGAACCTAACTTCTTTAAGTTTCATCTCCACGCAACTTGTTTTCTAGAAAATCCTTAGATCCAGAGCCCCAAGCTTGGTATTTTTCTTTAAATACAACTCCTCTTTCTTTCTCTTACGACTATTGAGTAAACTTTCAAAAAATGCTACTGATTGGTGAGTCTTGAAATCAACTGAGAGGTCATGACCAGCATTAAAAAGAGAAAGGAACAGACTGGACATGAAAAGAATACACTGTGACATGATGTTTCATGAAACCAGTTTTGATTATGCACCTGTGTGCATGAGAGAGCTGTGAAATATATCTCTGACTTTGTCGTGATCAAATAAGTTTCAAAACAGTAATAAACACAGACTTGCTTTAAATTAGTGTTAGAAATATTCTTGAGCATGAGGAAGCAATGCTATGATTTGACATGTCATTACAATACCTATTTAGAGTAAAGGCAAAAGAAATTGATATGACCTGATATGATTTCTCTGATATGATCTTGCTAATTATCATTTCTTCATTTATTTTCAAAGATAATTATAAAAACAGCCAGATTTAAATAATAGGTTACTTTTAATACTGAATCCTATGACAAACTTTTTGACCAGCTACAGTGAGGCACTATAAAATAATATACTGAAAAAGTGAATTATAACAATTAAGATTATTTCGTACTTGACCTGGAGTATATCCTGGAGTATATCCTTCTATTCAATAAAGAACTTATACTCACAAAGCCTTGCTTTAAAAAGATAACTTGGCTGTTTTTCTTCTTGTAAAAGTTATAGCTAAATATATCATTTCTTGGCCTTTTGGCTAAGATCAAGTGTAGTAACAGCTAAATATTTAGAAAATACAGATAAGCCAAATAAAGGATATAAAAACCACCCATAATTCCATTACTCAGAGATTAATGATCTTACATATTTAGTGTAGAGTCTAATTGTCTTTTCTGGTTTGTGTATGTATATCATACACAAACTCCTCCTCCACGGGTTTCAGTCTATAGCTCCAACTTAACCCAGGGCTCTAGAGGATGGCAAAATCTAGAGACCCTTTCCACTTCCGCTGAGGTCTTTCAGGGCTTTGAGAAAGCTTTACTCACAAGAGACGTTCCCTTCACCACTTCTTAACTGCCTACTCAAGTTTCCCTCTGTTCCCCTTCCCCCCCAAAATGTTTCTTTACACTAGAGAAAACTAGGGGCAGTATTTCTGCTTTTGCTGATTTACGTACTTCTTTAAGTATGATGGGAGTTGGGGAGCTTTAGGGGCCCTACTCTGCCACATAAGAATTTTGATTCTTTCTTTGGCTGCCATTTTCCAAGATTTACAGCAAAAGATCATATGACTTTCCTTATTTGGTGCTGCTGGTAAAGTTTTGGTTTTTAAAAAATGCTATTTGTGTTTCATTTTGTTTGGTGTAAACATTAATATGCTAGGACCCTAAAACATCTAGTTTCTTCTTACAGTGGAGGTTCTTAATATGAAGTTAACGGATAGTCTGAGGTGGGTGTTGGGATGTGGGTAGCAGCACAAACCATGACAAAATGTAAGCAAAAGTCAATATTTATGGTGAACATTTTTCTGGAAAGAGAATCTGTAACTTTCATCAAATTCTCAAAGGAATTTAGTATCTAAAAATGTTCAAGAAATAACATCAGGCTGAGTGTAGTGGCTCACACCTGTAATTCCAGCACTTTGGGAGGCTGAGGTGGGAGGATTGCTTGAGGCCAGGAGTTCAAGACCAGCCTGGGCAAGATAGTAAGGCCCCCATCTCTACAAAAAATAGAAAAACTAGCTGGGCACTGTGACGTGTGCCTGTAGTCCCAGTGACTCAGGAGGCTAAGCTGGGAGGATCGCTTGAGCCCAGGAGTTTGAGGCTGCAATGAGCTATGATCACACTACCACACTCCAGCTTAGATAACAAAGCAAGACCCTGTCTCTTAAGAAAAAGAAAGAAATAAATTAACATCAGAGGTTAAAAAAGAGATCTTCATGGTATTCTTCTTTACCTTTCATGTTTCATTCTAACCAGACATACCTACAAGTGCTGGCAGCCATTAGTTTTTAGAACTACTTCCTTGAATAAATTATTCTTTTCCAAATCACATTCTATCCATGTCATTACATTAGTCATCATATCAGAATCTCTAAAAATGGACAGTTGTTCAAATGTTCATTTAATTGTAATTTTTTGGCTTCCTACATCTAGTAGTTGATAACCAACTGTTACAGTTTAAAAAAGAAAGCAAAACCAGACAATTTTAAATGTCCTTCTATGTTTCAAACTTCGAATATACCTGAGGATTAAATCTGGAAGTATCAAATTGTTTAATCCAGGAAGAAGTCCTCAAGTCTTGATCTTCAGTCTTGACATGGTACCCTAAAGAAAAGTTTTAATTAAATTACCTTTGCACAAACTTGATCTGAAAGAACAAAACTAATCTAATGCTTAAAATTGAGAGCAAATTTATATCGACATTTTATTTAAAAATAAATACATTAACTCTTTAGATATTTATTCACATACTTTCACCTTCACTATACTCCTTTTCCTCTCAGAAGCAAAAACAATCACCAGCTCACAACTTATCATGTTAATTCTTTTGATTCTCTCAAATACTATATTCTTTTTTTTTTTTTTTTTTTTAAGGCTAAGTGAAGTAGTAGGCATGAAGAAGGAACAAAGAAATCTGTAACGTTGTGACCAATTAGTTGTAAATACCACTGTACTCAGACCAGCCTCAAAGATTTTCTTAATTTCACAGGTTTTGGGCTAGATGCTAGAAGATCTATAATCAAATTCTATGGCCATCTGTTGTATACGTAAAACCAAATGCAATATACTGTCTCTAAAAATGGTATTTTCCACGTAGAATATTTTCCCATATAGAATAAAGCAGGTGTTTGCCTGAATTTTGTAGTATTTCCATAAAAACTTTCTTTTCAAGGGACCAAAGAGATCTTAGAAAGACAAAATGATGCAGTGGAAAGACAGAGAAATTCAGATTTGAATTTGAGTTCTTTCATTACTAATGTAACTTTAAGCAAATTACTTATCCTCTCCAAACTTCAGTTTCCTCATATACAATAAGCACAGACTTTGAGTTCAGATGATCTTGGGTTTAAATTCCAACACTATTGAATAATAGCTATGTAAAGCGTGGGCAAATTAAATTAATTTCACTAAGTCTTGTTTCCTTTACCTGTAAAATGGGAGTGACTTTTACCTATAACATAAGTGTTGTTTCAAGAATTAAGTGAAATGAATGCCAAGTTCCTGGTCCATAGTTGACAATTATATGGGATCCAACACAATTATTACATAGGCATTCAATTTTAATGTAGTCCATCTTTTCCCCAATCTTCCTCAAGCTTTTTGGGAAACAAAAATTTGCCTGAAGGCACAGAACAGAAAACACTATGGGGCATGTCTGACACTGCCTTCGAGTCTTCCCTCTTTTCCCAATACTCCTTTTTTTCAAGTAGGAGAAAGAATAGCCTCAATCGGAAAGAAACAGTTCAAAACTTGTTTTCCCTTTCCTAAAAGGAAAATACGATTGACTATTCAAGTTTAGCAGACCATTTGAGACACCAAAACATTCCTTTTCACTCTGACAATAATACTAACTCTCTTGCAATAACAATGGTAGAATTATTCTACTGAACACCATTCTCAATTCCAGGTAATTTAGAGTTCTTATGCTTCCATGTTACATGACTTGTCAGCATTATACAGTTTTTCATCAGCATTCTTAACACCATTTCTAGTTAAAGGTGTGCAATGAATAGTCCTTATTCAAAATCCCCAACTTCAACTAGGATTATTGAGGTATTAAGTTGGGCATCATATGTTACTTCTTAGAGACTGATAAATTTTTTTTCTTACCACATTCCACTGGTTTAGCATAGCGATACAACTGCCTAACCTCATGGTTACTGCTGTGGCAGCTGCTGTGATCCTGGTGAGAGTTTCTCTCACCGCTGCAGTCTGTGCTTTGTATTTGCCTTTGTAAACATGTGGAATAGTGCAACCCTGCCATAGACAGCATGCCCTGAATAGCTTCTTCCTCTGTGCTCGTCGAGGTAGGACATTCCCTAAAAAGCAGATGATCCAAAAAAACAAGAATGTATTTTTTCTGATGAAATTTTTGGCAAAATTTAAAACTAAAAAAATGTTTCCATTTTTTTATATGTAATAAGACTACTACCATCAGCAAGCCTACCTTTTAACTGGAATTTCACTTCTAGATGGCTTCTGGCTCTTTTGAAGGAAGTTTTTCATTACATTAGATTCTTCCTTAAAGTTTGATGTTATTTCTTGTTTCTTTTCATCACCTGAACTTTCAGACTCTTCAGTGGTAAAATTATTTTTCTGAAATAATAATTAAATGGAAATAAAGCCATATAAGAAATTGACCAAGTCTGTACAAACTAATCCAAAAGATTTTATGTATCTATGGAAAGTCAAAATCTTAATTATCATGAAATTATTCTGTATTTCACATGAAAATCTCTATTAACTATAGGAACATACTGCCTTCATAAAAAATACATAGGCTTTCTTTAAGGTACAATGAAATATAACCTATGAGAGATACCAGAAATATTAAGAACAGTATAGGCAGAAGAATCTCTCCCTCCACCGTGTCCAAAATCAGACAAAAGCCATGTTTATCAAATGTGAACAGTCACATGACAGTGGGTGTGTATAATGACCACTACAGGAAGACCCTGTGCTACACAGCTCAGAGACGAGCTTTGGGGAAAGCTGTCATTTGCCTTCCGCCCAAGTGAGGATACATGGTGCTTATCTTTCCATCAAATAACATACAAGTCATAGGGTCTCAGGCATACCAGTGCAGTGCACTCAGGTCCAGAGTCTTCTGACTCAGAAATATCGGAATATCCTGATGATTTATTCCTGAGTTCTGATTTCACATGTGTAAAAAACCCTGAGAAAGAAAGGAAAGGATGAGAAAAAAAGAGAAAGTCATTAGAATTTGATGAACAAGGTATAGGGTGATCTCTAAAGTCCACCTGCCTCTCTGATGTCTCCCAATCGCTCCTCCTCTATCCCCCTTTTTCACTTTTGTTTTCTCCATTTCTTTCTCCCCTCTAGGTCTTTCTACCTAACTGACCAAGATACTAACTGAAGTATATACTTAAATATAAGTGTGGTATTTATTAAACATGATTGTATATTATATATTTGGGTGAGTTGACCATTTTATATTTCTTTCCAGAAAAAGCTTCCAAAACTAAAACTAGCTATTTACAAGATGATTTTCACTTCTCCTTTTGCATTAGTTCTATCATTAGGAAAAAAAGATAACTTTTCTAAACCAAAAAAGCATTCATGTAGTTGGTGAATTCAACAAGCTTATAAACTGGGCTTTTTCCTTCAGGAGGCGCTGCCATATAGCACTTGTTTGATGAATTCCTGTTGATTAGGGCCTTTTTCCTGGCGTGCACACAAAGCCAGAGTCACCAACTACAGCAGTGCCAAATTTATCTGGAATTAGCAGGAACTAAGATGTTCAGCATGGATTAAATAATGTTAGTTATCTGAAATATCTGTCAAATATCAAAATTTTTATTTTAACTGCTTTTTAAAATAGAAGGGTACATGGAGGTCCTGAAAAATGTTGAGAAATTAAGACTCCATTCAAAGAAGAAAGACCTCAAGAAGACAGCGTTAATATTTTGTCCTATTGATGATAACCAATTAATGACCTAGTGGAGGACTTCTTGCCAATAGGCAATCAAATAAAACCACAATACATGGATACGTAACAGCTTCAGATCAGCCAGTTATATACCTCCTGAAAATTATATACATGCTAGCTAAAATAATATATAAAATTTCATTAAACTTGAAATTTTTATTTTGGAAATTAGAGGCCCATAAAATGTATGATCCTTCATGTGACTCTTCAAAAACTGACTAAGCGAAGGTATGTGACCCACACAAACCCCCTCACTGATAACACCCTCCCTGGCCACTATACCTCACTTGGCATTCACATTCGGCACCTCCCTGATGGGTGACCTACTCAGACATACCTCTGATTTTTCAAAACAGTATTAGGGACACAAAAATTTTCAATCCTCCTATAAACTTAAGAACTTTAAAATTAGCATGTTACTTAACATATTACCACATTAGTAATGAACAGATCTTCAAAATGACCATAAAACAAACATACTGTTAAGTGGTTTTTGAGATGTCTCATTTTCCACTCCCTCTATTCCTGAACTCTCTTCTATCTTCATTTTTGTCTTTTTTGTCCTTCTTTTATCCTCTTCGTTTTCACTATCTGCTGTATAAAGAGTCTGATCTGTGAAGGGCTGTCTCTCATCTCTGTATCATGAAGGAAAAATAATCAAGTCAGAAAATAGTGCAAGACTATGTAGCCAAACGATATTCCCCACCCCGTTAATTTACAGAGGGTACAGAATTGAGATCCTGTCCCCATATTTCAGTCAGCTATGCAACAGTATGGACTAGGGATAGAATGAACAAAGGGAATCCACTGAAAATTAATCTACTTGATACTCTGATCTACTTTACATACTTGATTATTCTTCCATTTGTCAGCAGTAATCGTAGATCATTATCTTTTGCTCTCCATTCAGGTACCGTGGAAGATGGCTGGAGATGTTTGTTGAATTTTCCATTCAGTTTAGAGCTCAAGATGTCCTTAAAGTATAAAAGCAGAAGTTACTTAACCTCCACCCTCAGACAGCCCTGCTTGACTGAAGAATACAATATACCACCACCTCCCTCACGGCCTTGCATCTCAAGGTGACACATAGCTGCCAGGGCGTGGGGACATGTAGCAGTATGACACTGCAGAGTTCCTGAAGTAGAATGTAAAATGTGCATAAAGTGAATTCAAAGAAATTTCACTCTTGCAGAAAGCTGAAAAACTGGAGCAGCACTGCCTTAAGGTATTTTAACTCTCTTCCCCTTGCTTCTTCCTACTGAAGTGCTAGCTCCTCGGCCTTTCCATTCACCCTATCCTTCACTTACTATCTACCTAGCAACAAACAGGTCACCGCACTGGTACCACTAGGAACAAAGGCCACTATATGACATAAAGGTACAATAGTAGCTGGGTTTTAATCCATAAAAAAGACTTCCTTTTCATGGTAATTTTTCCCTTAATAATAAATAGAACCTTTCCTAATAAGCTAAATCTTCCCTAGTGACTATGGGTTAAGTAAGTTTAGAACAATGTAATCTTAAAACAATTATATGAAATTTAAAATATTTTAGAAAGTTAAATTTTCCATATAATTTCTTTAAATATTTTAATTCAGAGATATCCCTATCTCATTCATTTTATTTATCTATTTATTCTTATGTTTTAAGAGTTGGGTGTCTTGCTATATTGCCCAGGCTGATCTCAAACTCCTAGGATCAAGCAATCTTCCTGTTTCAACCAACGTCTCGAGTATCCGGGACTGCAGCTGTACACCATCACATCCAACTCTTCTATCTCATTCATTTTAAATTATTGCCTATCCTCTACTTAAAATGTAACATTATAGATGATACAGATCTCACCACAAATTTGTAACCATGTTTTACAAAGGTACTACATCAATCTTATTACTGCCTCCCACTCTCCCCTTTGTCCAGTAGGCCAGCACTTTCCAAACTTTAATGAGTTTATTCTAACAGTCTCCCAGTCTAATAGTTATCTAGGCTGATGCTATTGGCTCATATTATAGGTTTTCTGCATTTGCTCTTCTCTCTGCCTATAACATTATTCCTCAAATGTCTGTCTATTCATTTGACTTTGCATGATTTAAGTGTCAGTTCAAAACTGAGAGGCTCTCTGCCCACCTTAGCTAAAGTACCCAGATACAACATACCTCTTTATTCTACTGCTCTGTTGTTTGAGTTCTTTCAAAAACACTTATAATCTGAAATTATATTATTTTAGTGTATGTCTCTGCCTCCCCATCCTTCCAACTTGAACTAGGATGGAAGCTTCATGAGGGCAAGGACTTAAGTTTTGCTCACTCTGGCATTTTCTCCAGAGCCTGGAAGAGCAGCTGGTACGTGGTAAACATTCAATAAACATGTCAGGAAATCAATGAGGTCTATTCATTCTAATTCTATACTGATAACTAGAAAGATTAAGCACCATTCCTTGAAACAGGCAGAACTATTGGATGACCCCTATAATTACAGCAAAAATTAGATAACAAGAATAGTCAGAATGTTCACTTTTTATTACCTCTTTAAAGAACTTTAAGGAATAATCAAGTCTCTTTTTTTTATTATGAAACAATACTTGCCTCTTCCCATGGACACATCTCTAATCTTTTGAGGACCTCCCTGGTGTGGAGCTCTAGGATGTCTAGGTTAGAAGGAGTTCGGACATTATGATCTCGAAGTTTCCTCATCTTTCGTCGGGAATGGTAGGGGGAAGTTGCTTCATTTGAGGATCGTGAAACTGGACACACAGTAGGAATTCCCTGAGTTTTAACTGGTTTGCCATTTTCCTCCTTTAAGAATTAAAATCAGAGTATTTTTATGACAAGACTACTATATACACACCTGACTGTCCATAAAGATATTTTTAGAAAACAAAAAACATTCAGTTTAATCATATAAACAAAAAAGACTAAATCATAATAAGCCTCAAAGAGCTTTGCCGAGACCCTTATTCCCTTTTCTCCCCCAAATAAGATACTGTGAGCATATTTCCTTGATTTTAATATCATATTAAAGGCTGTGTTATATTCCACTGTATGGATACAGCATAATTTACTTACCTAATACTCACTGGTAGCCATTTAGGCTGCTTCCAGTTCTTTCCCACAATGAGCATTCTTTTCACATATATATTTGCATAAATGCATAAAATGCTTACTTTTTAAAGTGCTTTTCTAAATTTTTTCTTTTTAGAGACAGTGTCTCACTCTGTTGTCCAGGCTGGAGGGTAATGGCGTGATCACAGCTCACTGCAGCCTCGAACTCCTGGGCTCAAGCAATCCTCCCAACTTAGCCTCCCAAGCAGCTGGGACTACAGGCGTTTGCCACCACACCTGGCTAATTTTTAATTTCTTTTGTAGAGATGGGGTCTCGCCATGTTGCCCAGGCTGGTCTTGAACTCCTGGCCTCAAGTGATCCTCTTGCCTCAGCCTCCCAAAGTGTTGGGATTATAGGCATGAGCCACTGTGCTACCCAATATTTACTTTTTAAACTAAAACCACACATCTATGTAGTTTTTAAAATTAAATACTCTATAAGCATATCATGAAAAGTAGTGGTCTACTCTTCCCCATCCCTGATTCCCGTTTTCCAGAGGCAACCACTTGCAACTATTTTTTTCTGTGGTAACATACGTGTAACATAAAATTTTCTATTTTAACCATTTTTAAGTATACAGTTCAGTGCCATTAAGTATCTTCACACTGTTGTATAGCCATCACCACCATCCATCTCCAGAACTTTCTCATCTGCACAAACTGAAACCATACCCACTAAACAATAACTTCCCATTCTGCCCTCCCTCCAACCCCTAGCAACTACCGTTCTACCTGCACTCTATGAATCTGACAACACTAGGAACTTCATATAAACGGAATTATATATCTGTCCTTTGGTGACTGGCTTATTTCACTTAGCAAAATATCTTCAAGGTTCATCTACATTGTAGCATGTGTCAAAATTGCCTTCTTCTATTTAATACAAGGCTGAATAATATTCCATTGTATGTATGTACCACATTTTGTTTATTTGTGCATCCACTGATGGACACCTGGGTTGCTCGGTCCACCTTTTGGCCATTGTGCATAATGCTGCTATAAACCTGGGTTTACATACATCCATTCAAGTCCCTGGTTTTAATTCTTTTGGGTATTGGGTAGTCATGACTTACAACGCTACTAACTGTAGGTTTTGCCCCTAGTTTTTTGCCTCTAAATTTCTAAATAACATGTTTATACTGTTTTCAGCTTCAATTATTACTGGATTCCTACTATGCAAGATGAAGTCTTAATCCTTAATCCATACCTCTCCTAAACATACACCTACTTCCCTTTCCTTCGATATTCTGTATTTGAATTATGCTCAGTAAAAATTATGAATAACCCAATGCCACATTACGTACTACTATTCCATTCCTTTCTTTTATATCCTTCGATAATCCCTTGAGTTATAATTGCCTCACTTCCCATCTGCTTTGTTTTCTACGTATTAATATTTATCACTAATTGATTCCCAAATTCTCCATTAGAAGAATGTAAACATTCAAATGCATTAAGTAATCTATCAATTTTATATTTTTCTTTGGAGACATCTCTCCTGGATAGGATTGCCAGATAAAATGTACAAGACACCCAATTAAACTTCAATTTCAGGTAACAACAAATATGCAGCTTTTTGGTCTCCTGATCCATCCTGGACTGGCTGTTCTCTCTGGGCCAGACTTATTCTTCCAGGTGTATTTTACCACTTTAAATTGTAATATTAATTTGGAGTTGACATATTCTCAGAAATGACACTCACATTTATTTAAGTATTGTTTTACTTCCCTTAATAAAGATTTACAGTTTTTTTCATACAGACTCATACTTTCTTACTAAGTTTATCCTTAGTTTTGGTTGTTATCATACATGAGATTTATATATGTATACATTTACATACATATTTAAGATCAGAAATATGACTTTTGATACTGAATTCATTTGTATATGATTACTATCACTCTTTAAAAACAGAAAATATTTTTCTACTATAGCTGAACACATTTGAGAATTACACGAACTATTCTACCCATGGATATTAAACCCAGCATTTTAATACTTCTTAGCTGTACACCTCTTCCCATTCCCCAAATATAACCCTAGCGTAAGCTGTGAAATTATCAGGTAGCCTCCATTCCCGCCACTAATTTCCTCTCAATTCAAGCTAGACACTAACAGAACCACCTTGCTGAAGAATTACTTTAATTAAAACACCCTTTCTTAAACACCTAGAAGAGCCCTTAGTTAATAAATTAAAACACCTAATCACAGATTTTACGAGCTTTTATCAAAGGGTATTTATCTGATCAAGTTGCTCTAGTTTTGTCCCACCTCACTAACCTCATCCCTTTCTCCAACCCAGCTTCCCTAGGATGACTCATCCCCCTTACATTTTTTTCTCTTGCTATAATTACTTAACACATATTCATCTCTGGGTAGCTGAAATTAACTGGTTCTGAAAGTTGTATTACTCTGTATTTTTTGTTTTTAAAGTAACCTGAAGTAATCTGGTAACTGCTTATTGTTTCATTTCAATATAATATTCTAAATTTCTCTCTAAGTCTTTAGAAGCCTTTAGGCTTCTAAAGAATCCATACAAGACTCATCTCATTCTATTACTTCTAAGTGTGTAAGAGTTTTCAAATGTTTGTAGTGTGCTGGTAGATGCATTTGCTTCTCAAAGCAGATAGTAAGGAAGCATTTACACGATAGTTTTTACTCTTACCTCTATTGCTCGAATTACTTTAGAAAGTTCTTTAATAAGATGTCCAGGTCTAACATTGTCTGGAATTTCAAAGGCATGTTCAGATACAAGCTGTATTTGGATTAACAAAGATAAGAAAACCAAAGTTACTTATATTTTTATATGTAAAAACTAATTTACTAAACCAATTTTCAGGTTCTCTAAACTTTATAGACATAGTTAAATACTAGTAAGCCATGTCTTAGAGTTCATGAAGTTGGTATAATACCTTCAAAAGAGATCCTCATTAATACATAAAAATCCTCTTAGATGGACTTGTTCCACAGTGAGTTTTGCTTTATATTGAGTAGTAACCTTGTACTCTACACCTCAAAGCCTACTGTAATTCTTACTACTACTACTCATTAGTAAAGTAACTAATTAAGCCTAACATTTAATTCATAATGCATTAAGATTTTTAAGGGGAACACAGGCACTAACATAATTCTAGTTTCTTTTGGGAAGTCTAATTTGAATAAATTTTTGTCAACTTTTTTTTCTTTTAATAATCAAAAGCAAAATAGAAAAAAGCTCCCAACAATAATGAAGAGGAATTAATTGGTAAGTTACCATATTTATTGAACTGCAAGCTGTTGTCATTATTTATTATGTGTATTTCAAATATTAATCTCTATATCTAAGAATATTTTGGCTTTTTAGACACACTCAACATACTAGTTTCTACTTTTGCTGTATACTTGGTTTTAGCATCATTTGTTAAAACAAGGTAATAACAACAGTAATATTAAGTGCTAACTAACTCTGCTCTAATACTATTAAGTATTTATAAGTGTTAACTCATTTAATCTTTCCAACAACATTATGACATAAATACTACTGTTATTCCCATTTTACAGTTGAGGGAAGTGAGGCATAGAAGTTAGGCAACTTGCCCAAAGTCACATAGCTGGTTTATTAGCAGCAAAGCCGAGATTTGATTCTCAACATTTGACTCCAAGATCCATGCTCTTAACTATTATGCTGAGCTGCCTCTCCTCTTATGGCAAATTTAACAGATATTAATGCAAACATTATGCTTTTTACTTATTTATTTATTTTTGAGACAGGGCCTTGCTCTGTAGCCCGGGCGTGACTGCAGTGGCATCATCATAGTCCACTGCAATCTCAAACTCCTGCGGTCAAGTGATCCTCCCGCCTCAGCCTCCCAAGTAGCTAGGACTACAGGTGTGCACCACCATGCCAGGCTAATTTTTCCGTTTTTTGTAGAGACAGGGTCTCCATATGTTGTTCAGGCTGGTCTAGAACTCCTGGTCTTTTTTTTTTTTTTTTTTAAATGAGTTTTATGTTTATTTAAGGTATACAATATGATGTTATAAGATGCACATAAAGACTAAAAAGGTTACTACAGTGAAGCAAATGAACATATCCATCTTCTCACAGTTAGTCAATTTTTGGTTTCTATGAAAAGAGCAGCTGAAATACACTCACTTAGCATAAATCTCAAATATAGTACAATTTTGTTACTTATAGTCTTCACGCAGAACTCCTGGTCTTAAGAGATTCTCCTGCCTTGGCCTCCCAAAGTGCTAGGATTACAGGTGTGAGCCACCATGCCCAGCACATCATGCTTTTTAAAATGCACTGTAACTGTAATGTATTAACAGCATTTGTTATTGATAACGAATTTACTATGCATCAAAATCACTTATGAAGTCTGAAGAACTTGTATGTAGAACAGAGGTATGAAGTATGAAGAACAGAGGTTCAGATCCTACCCTAGATCTATTAAATCAGAATCTCCAGAGGAGGATCCAGGGGTTTTATTTTTATAAAAAGTGCTAAAGGCAATTCTGATAAACTCACAAATTTGACAACCACTTGTCTAAAGCCTTCAGCAGGAAATGAATTACACAGTTTTTGCAACATATGCCTGTTTTTATTTCGTTATATAGTTTTAAATTTGCTTATGCCTTTCCTTGTCATCTAGATGATAGTCTTTTACAGTGGAAGACATGCTTTTTATTTTCCTGAATGCTTCCACACTGCCTTGCTCTAGTAGATACATAGCAATGATAATAAAGTGACAGGGAGTATAAAATTATTGGGACGGTAACCTATTAATTACTATTTCCCAATATCTCCTAAAAGCATGATTTTTATTTCAAGGGGATACTCAAGAAATTAATTTGGACATGTATTTTCATTAGCTCACACATTTATCATTTATTAAAGTATTATGTGCAAAGCTCCATGTAGTCAAAATGAAGATAAGAAAGATAGTCCCTATTCTTCAAGACCTCATAAACCTGGTGAAGGAGAAATGGATACATTATTTTATTACATTAGTTGTAAGCCCACTGGCACAAGAAATATGCTATGGAATCATAAGGGAAGTTAACACTAATTCCAAATGGAAATCTGGGATGACTTTTGGGTGGTGGGAATCAGTGCAAACTGGACCACATTTTAGTGGAAATGGAAAGCTCATGCTTCCACCTTGACCCCTCCTGTCCTTCATTTTTATATAAGTCTCGCAGAAAGGTAAAGAGCATAGGCTTTGCAATCCCAGAGATCTAAGCTTTAAATTCTAGCTCTACCAGTTCTCTTACTTAAAAAACTCTTGAACCTCAGCTTTCCCATATGTAGAACAGGGATACCAATAGCACTCCAACCTCATATAGTTGCTGTTAGGATTAAATGAGATCATGCATGTAAAGACTAAGCACACTATAACAGCTCAATGTTATTTATTATTATTCTGTGTCTACATGTTCATTTCTCAGTCAACATCCTAAATATACTTGAATTACTTTCTTTTCCAGATTATAAAGACATAACTAAGTACTTAATTCTCATAAATATGAACAGAAACCAGTACATCTGTATATACTGTATAATAAAATGCAGGTTGTACTTAAAGCATAATCTCTATTCCCTTTACTATTGGCATTCACAGGTGCTGCCAAAACAGCATAAGAATTCTATTTTCTTGATCTTGCCACATAAAAAACAACAATGATTTACCAAACAAAATAACTTACTTCTTTTTTCATCCATAATTTTAAAGCAGTATGCAGTGCTTTCACTCCCTGTACCAGGTAAGTTTGAGGCTGGAAACCATCTTCTCTCAGTTCTATAGGAACAAAAGTGGGGTGGACAAAGAAGTTAAAGTGTTCTAAAGATAAAGGGATTAACTTTAGATTTTGAGTAACCACGAAGTATAAAACTGTATAACTTCCAAATTAATAGAAAGACAAAAAAATGGAATACGAAATTCAAAAAGAAGGAAAAAGAAATAGAATTACATTCAATGTAATTGTACTAAATGTTGCAGTTAAAAGAAAGACTGTTCCTTCAGAGTAGAGAAGGAAAAAATAAATTAATTAAAAAAAGAAGAAGAAGAAAAAAGAAAGACCATTCCATTGGATTAAAAAATAAACTAAAGGTACATAAATAACATATTAAAAAATACAGAAATGTTTAAAATAAAAAGATGGGGAAAAGATACCAAGCTTTGAAAAAAAAGCTGGTATAGCTATATTAATAGACTGTCATTAATAAAGGGTCATTTCATAACAACTAAAGATTTAATTCATGAGAGAGACATAAATAACCATCTAAATGTTGTGCTCAATAACATAGCCTGAAAATATGGAAAGCAGTAACTAGACAGAGCTATAAGGAGAAATCCATAATCATAGTGGAAAATTTTAAGACATTTCTCTTGATAAACAATAAAGTAAGTGAACTAAAAAAAAATCAGTAGGCATATATATATGTAATTTGAACAATATAAAACTTGATTTAATGGCCATAAATAGAATATTATACCCAGAAATTGCAGAACACATATTCTTTTCAACATACACAGAACATTTACAAAAAATCATCCATATCCCAGGGCCATAAACAAGTCTTATCAAATGTCCAAGGATCTAAATCACAGACGTGTTCACAATGCAATTAAGCTAGAAATCAATAACATAGAAATCAGGAACAAGGTAACTGGAGAAAGTCCATATGTTTAGAAATTAAGAAACACAAATACTAAGAAATAGACTGCTAACATTTGGATCAAAAAATAAATATTAGGCCAGGCATGGTCACTCACACCTATAATCCCAGTACTTTGGGAGGCTGAGGTGGGGGGATTGCTTGAAGCCAGGAGTATGAGACCAGCTTGAGCAATATAGCAAGACTCAGTCACTAAAAAAAACAGAAAAATTAGATGGGCATGGTGGCGGTGGTATGTGCCTGTAGTCCCAGCTACTTGGGAGGCTGAGATAGGAGGATCCCTTGAGCCCAGGAGTTTGAGGTTGCAGTGAGCTATGATGATGCCACTGCACTTGTGCCCAGGCAACAGAGCGAGATGCTGTCTCCAAACAAACAAACAATAAAACAATACATTGGAAATCATAGTATGTTGGTTAAACAATAATGAAAACATTATATCAAAACATGTGGTATAGGCCGGGCGCGGTGGCTCACGCCTGTAATCCTAGCTCT